TTTTCTTTTTTTGGTTGTGCCCCCTTTTTTTTGGGGGGGATTTACGTGCTTGACTCCTTAGGGGAAACCGGGCCAAAAACCCGATTGAGGGGGGGCAAGCAGATTGGTTTAGCTTTTCCCAGTTTTTTGAGGGGGTTTTCGTTTAGGGGGTCAGTTTCCCCCCCCGGGTCCCCAGTTTTTCCCCCCACGTAATACCCGTTTGAAATTTTGTGTTTTAGCTCCCCTCCCCGACTTGATGGGGGGATTCCCCCATTTTTTTTGGGGGGGGGGGGGGTTTGAACCCGGTTTTTTTTCCCCCCTTCCAATCAGGTTTTTTTTTTTTGGCCCCAACAACGGGAACCGACAAAATCTTTTTCCGGGAGGGATTTTTGGGGGCCCCTCCCCAAGGACAATCAGCCCCCCAATTAAGTCCCCCCCGTTGGGGGCCCCTGTACGTTTAGCCCCCCCCCCCAAGGACAAACCTTTTTCCAAAAGGGGTGCCCCCCCCCCCCCCCCTGTACGATGAAAAACCAGGTCCGAGCGTTCGAAGACCTTGAGCTCGAAGTAGACGGTGCCGTCATGCGAACGGGCAGAGAAATGCTCCTGGAAGAAAATGGAGAAGACGGGGGCGGCGGAAAGGAACACGGGCAAGAGGATGGCGAACACCGCTCAAGCAATCGGTCCCCGCAACAAACAGCCTCACCACCGCTCCAGTCCGCTTCCGGTGGGCTGGCGGCGTTGCCGGGGGGCTCCGGCGTGTCTGCCGGGGGGGGGGGAGCGGCGATCCCGATGGCCCCGCACCGGCGGCTGCGCCAGGCCGTGCTGCTCGCGCACAAGCTGCTGAGGAAGGAGAGGGAGCTGGAGGTGGCGAGGAGCGAGCTGGTCGAACTCGAGTCGAGGTGTGTGGTGGAATGGGAGATAGTGGAAGCAAGGGCGTGTGGGGGGGATCTTGCTTGCTTGACCTTCTGCGGGGCCCCTGTTGTGGTGTCGAAAGGATACCCCACGCCGAACCTCGGTTACCCCCGCGCCCCGTCGCGGCCATGATTTCCGTCCGCAGCACGAGACTCCCACTTTTGTTGTCCACCCGATCCTCGGCGGGAAGTCGGCGTGTTTCCTTCTGCCCTCACCACATGGACCTGGTTGTACGTATGCATAGCTTCCGTTGTCTACAAAGCTAGAGATGCCTCACAGCAGTTTTGCGGTATTTGTCGTGGTAGGTTTCTTTGGTGACATCAATTCAAACGCATACACGCGTCTATTGACGGTATATCCTCCCTTGGGAAGAACACGATTTTCGCGGCATTGTTTCAGAATAACAAGATGGGAAAACCTGGGTGGCAAGTCGATCCCCCCCCCCCCCCCCCTC